TTGGCTGGGTGTGGTGGCACATGCCTGTAATCCCAGCTACTTGGGAGGCTGAGGCAGGAGAATCACTTGAATTTGGGAAGCAGAGGTTGCAATGAGCTGAGATCATGCCATTGCACTCCAGCCTGGGTGACAGAGCAAGACTCCATCTCAAGAAATAAAAAATAAAAAAGCACCTTAAACAATAACCTAACTTTATGTTCCCTCTAGCCCCATCCTATCCCCCTATCTGTAAGAACAGTTATACTGAATCCCATAGTGAGAACTGTTCTTTCCCCCCAGTGATAACCATTCTTTCCTCCTTACATGGTTTTACTGCATACATGTTCTTTTTACATGTTTTTAAATTCTTAGTTGTATTTAATTTTTTGTTGTTGTTGTTGTTGTTTTTGAGACGGAGTTTCGCTCTTGTTACCCAGGCTGGAGTGCAATGGCGCGATCTCGGCTCACCGCAACCCCCACCTCCTGGGTTCAGGCAATTCTCCTGCCTCAGCCTCCTGAGTAGCTGGGATTACAGGCACGTGCCACCATGCCCAGCTAATTTTTTTGTATTTTTAGTAGAGACAGGGTTTCACCATGTTGACCAGGATGGTTTCGATCTGTTGACCTCGTGATCCACCCGCCTCAGCCTCCCAAAGTGCTGGGATTACAGGCATGAGCCACCGCGCCCGGCCGTATTTAATTTTATAGCACCACTAGTCATTAGAGAAATGCAAATTGGGATCACAAAGAGGTATCGAGACATACCCACTAGAATAAAGTTTATTTATTTATTTATTTTTATTTTTGAGACAGAATCGCCTTCTGTTGCCCAGACCAGAGTGCAAAGGTGTGATCTCGGCTCACTGCAACTTACGCCTCCTGGGTGCAAGTGATTCTTGTGCCTCAGTCTCCCAAGCAGTTGGAATCACAGGCATGTGCCACCACACCCAGCTAATTTTTGCATTTTTAGTAGAGATGGTGTTTCACCATGTTGGCCAGGCTGGTCTTGAACTCCTAACCTTAAGTGATCAGCCTGCGTTAGCTTCCCAAAGTACTGGGATTACAGATGTGAGCCACCATGCCTGGCCCACTAGAATAAAGTTTAAGGTTGATCATCCTGAGTGTTAGCAAAGATGTGGAGCAACTGGACATCTCATACATTGCTGATCGTAATGCAAAACAGTAGCTCCACTTTGGAAAACAGTATGGTAGAACCTTATAAAGTTAAACATATATTTACTATATGACCTAGCAATTCCATTCCTAAGTATTTACTCAAAAGAAAACATGGGCCAGGCACAGTGATTCACACCTGTAATCCCAGTACTTTGGGACGCCAAGGTGGATGGATCATCTGAGGTCAGGAGTTCAAGACCAGTCTGGCCAATATGGTGAAACCCCATCTCTACTAAAAATACAAAAATTAGCCAGGTGTGGTGGCAGGCACCTGTAATCCCAGTTATTCAAGAGGCTGAGGCATGAGAATCACTTGAACCCGGGAGGTTGCAGTTAGCTGAGATCAAGCCGTTGAACTCCAGCCTGGGAAAGAGAATGAGACTATGTCTCAAAAAAAAGAAAAAAAGAAAGAAAAGAAGAAAACATGTACTCACAAAATTATACACCCAAATGGTCTTAGCGGCATTATTAATAATAGCCACAAACTGGAAGCAACTCAAATGTCCATCAACTGGTGAATAAACAAAATGGTGGTATGTCTCCACCATGGAATACAATTCGGCAATAAAAAGGAACAAAACATTAATACAACAAAATGAATCTCAAAAACATTATACTAAGTCAAAGAAGTCAAACGCAAAAGACTACATATTGTATGATTCCATGTACGTATGCAAAAATTTCCCAAGACCAGATATTTGAAAGGATTATCCAAGCTTCACAGGGCATAATCACCCAAGATTTCTATTTAAAGGCAAAGGACACAACGCACCAAGAGAAAGACAGGGTAGGTAAACATTAGGAATCTCAGAGCTTCCCAAATACAAGCTCTCCATGGTCCTTATGCATATGTAGACTGCACTCAGAAGTGCCTTTGGATTGAATCATCATGATCCATGTGAGGAATCCATCCTGGTTTGGAAGAGCTCAAATCAGAAGTTCCCAGCAGGGCTTTTATGTTGCTCTGGCCATGTAATCAAGCCAAACATGTGTAACTGGTTAGACCAGCTACAAATAATCTGTAAAGGGAGTGACCAATGGAGCTTCAGACTTTATTTAAAAAAAAACTTTTTTTTGAAATAGAGTCTGTCACCCAGGCTGGAATTCAATGGCAGGATCTCGGCTCACTGCAACCTCTGCCTCCCATGTTCAAGCAATTCTGCCACCCCAATCTACCAAGTAGCTGAGATTATAGGCACCTGCCATCATGCCCAGCTAGTTTTTGTATTTTTTTAGAGATGGGGTTTCACCATGTTGGCCAGGCTGGTCTTGAACTCCTGGTCTCAGGTGATCGATCTGTCTCAGCATCCCAAAGTGTTGGGATTACAGGCGTGAGCCACCGCACCTGGCCGAGCTTCAGACTTTAAACAGCACATTATAAATCCCAATGCCTTTATTTATTATTATTTTTTGAGACAGAGTCTCACTCTGTTGCCCAGGCTGGAGTGCAGTGGCACAATCATAGCTCATTGCAGCCTCAAACTCCTGGACTCAAGTGATCCTCCTGCCACAGCCTCCTGAGTAGCTGGGATCATAGGCACATGCCAGCACATCCAGTTAATTTTTTTTTTTTTTTTTTTTGGTAGAGACCAGGTCTTGCTATATTGTCCAGGCTGATCTAGAACTCCTGGGCTCAAGTGATCCTCCCACCTCAACTTCCCAAAGTGCTGGGATTATAGGCATGAGCCACTGTGCCTAGCCTATTTTCTACATCTTGATGGTGACGGTGACTATACTATTATATGCAATTATCAAAATTTATTAAATAATACATTTAAAATTTATGAACTTGAGAAATAAAATTTATGAACTATATTGTATGTAAAGAATAACTCCATAGAAAAGAAAAAACCTTTCATCCAGAAAGGGCATCATGCTACATTTACTCTTCTGGGATTAAACTTTTTTCACTCAATTATTTTATTGCTCAGAGTCGTCCATATGGTTAGGTATCATTATAGTTCATTTATTTTGACAATTGTATAATATTCTATTATGTGAATATTCTAATTTACTTTTCCACTCTCTTGCTTACGGGCATCTGAGTTATTTCTAGGCTTTTGCTTTTATGAAGAGGGCTGCTGTGAATATTCTTGTACATGTCTCCTGGTGTACATGTATGAGTTTCTCTAGGATTCATTCCAGGTATCAGATTAACTGGGTTATAGGGTAGCTGAATGTTCAATTACAGCAGATAAACTGTTTTCCAAAGTAGTTCTCTGAATCTCTCTGTCCCAATTAGATTAAGACTATAGAGGAAGACGACCCTCCCATCTTGAATTACCACTGCTTAGCATTCAATTAGCACCAGGCTGGATATTGAGGAGTCTAAGGGCAGAAGCCCAGGCACCTGAGGCCTCTTAGCCTCAACAAATACTAAGTACTATACAGAGTGAACAGCATGCAGGGACCATATACCACACATGAAGGCTGGTTAGGGTCCTACTCAGAAAACCAGCCATCCTCCTTGAAGCTCCGTCTTCCTAGCTTCACCTGATTTTGAGTCTGAGAGAGATTCCAGGGCCCTCAATTACAATGCAAATCCCAAAAGAAGACTTAACCTCAGCTAAAGTCCTTCCTCAGCTGACACCTCTAATACCCAAATAAGGATAAGCAGGAATGGCAGAAAGGACAAAAAGAGTGGCAGGAAGAGGAGAAATAACCAAAGTGAAAAGAGCCAAGAAGCCTTCAGGTATGGAAGTTATGGAGTTATTTTCTATGGAGTTATTCTTTGCATACAATATAGTTACATACCCTTTTCTGCACAAGGAACAGTTTTCCAGAAAAAAAAAAAAGTTTAAGAAGAAAATATCTGCAAGTGACCCTGGGCAATTTTTTATATCCCTGCCACTTAAAGGTTACTTTCTTTTGGCTAAAGTTACAAAAATAACATATCAAGCATGCAGTCAGTAAATAATATAATCTCACCCTGAACATAGTGTGTGCAGTGAAGCCCTGTGGTGCCAAGAGAAGAGTGAGGGATTTGGGTGTGGGCCATAGAACAGGTGCCAGAGCTCAGCTGCAGATTAGAAACAACAAAAAATCTGGAATATAAAACAAAACATCAAGAGATTCCTAGGTGTTCAGAAAGAAAAAGGAGAGTTACCATTCCCAAGGATGAGGGAGCCCGGTAATTTCCCACAATCCCAACTGCTACATCTCCGAGAGCTCTCTAGCTACCTGTCATACACAAGGTCTGGGAATACCTGCTAGATGAATGAATAAAGAACAAGGCACGCACAAGAGTATAATAGTTTTGTGGCAGAAGCAGCCTCCCAAGCCACATTTGGGCAGCAGTATTGTTGCCAGCAGGAGTGGCCAGAATTATTCAGCTCAGGAGGGCTTTTCCAATGAGTAGTAAGCAGATTATTTACTTGTTCCTTAAATTAGATCATGGGCCATAAGGAGAAAATAGGCAGGTTTATTTGGGCCTGTTGGCTGCTCAAGACTGATCAGGTGGAACTCACTTCAAGGGTGACAGGGGCTCAATAACTGGCTATTACTCACACCTGTAATCCCAGCACTTTGGGAGACTGAGGTGGGCGGATCACCTGAGGTCAGGAATTCAGGACCAGCCTGACCAACACAGAGAAACCCTGTCTCTCCTAAAAATACAAAATTAGCCAGGCGAGGTGGCACATGCCTGTAATCCTAGCTACTCGGGAGGCTGAGGCAGGAGAACTGCTTGAACCCAGGAGGCGGAGGTTTCGGTGAGCTGAGATCCCGCCATTGCACTCCAGCCTGGGCAACAAGAGTGAGACTCCATCTCAAAAAAAAGAAAGAAAAAATGGAACTAATGGTACTTAAACTGACATGAAGTCCCCAACTGCAGCCCCAGGTCTATGGAGCTTCAACAACTTTATTGGCCAAATGCTTCTTCCCATGTTTACAACTTAAAGCGTGAGCCTGCTCACTGGCTCCTCCTTCTAAGGCCCTAAGTGGGCAGTGAACTTTAGTACAAGCCTGCAATGGGGTGGTGGGTAATGAGTGAGTTAGAAACCTGCTGATGCTGCACAATTGGACAGGAGGACAGAAAATCTTCTACTTCTTATTGTCGAAAACTGCAGAAAGACACAGATAAGATGGAGACAGGACCCAGAGTGCATCTCTACCACTGGTCTCAGTTTCTGGTGCCTCCAACAGAGTATACCTTTGTCTTCTCGCTTCAGGGATTGGGTGATGCTATGTCAGCCTACGCATTTTGCAGAAGTACATAGGGCCAAAATTGGCCATGAGGTTTGGTATTACCAGCTCCCCAACCTGGCAGGATGAGAAGAAACAAAATGTATCCGTGAAGAGCCTTCGGAAGTGACTCAGATCTTCCACCTGCACCTGGATGCTGTATTGATTGGCCAGGAGCTCAATGGCACCTTGCACCACATACTCGTTCTGTAAGTGTGAGAGTGAGCAGGTGGAATAGACAACGTGGCCTCCTGGTTTGGTGGCAAGGAGTCCAGCCCTGAAACCAGAAAGAGACAGAAGCATGACTAGTGGGCTTCCCAGAAGTAGAAGAGCAACATAAGGAGCTTGAAACATGGATAAGGGAAGGCTACTACGGGATAGGTCGCTGGATTAGACAGCCTCTCAAGTCCCTTCCATAATGACACTGCCTGAAAAAGTCATTCTCAAGGCAGAAAGCAACCCAACCTTACCATGAGTTCCTCACTAGGAAGTCTTCTTACAATGACTCCCTGAGGTCTGACTCTGTTTATGGACCAAATTGCTATGCTGGCTATGGATTGAGTTTTTACCCCAGTAGCTATTTTTCAAACATGTGCTACTAACTGGTACTGAGGGTGAAAAAGCATAATGAATCTGTACAGCCCACTCTAGTATGCATGTCCTACCAGATAGGCAGATAGGATTTTTTTTTTTTTTTTGAGACAGAGTCTTGCTCTGTTACCCAGGCTGGAGTGCAGCGGCACGATCTTGGCACACTGCAGCCGCCACCTCCTAGGTTCAGGTGATTCTCCTCCCTCAGCTCCCTGAGTAGCTGGGACTACAGGTGTGCATCACCACACCCAGCTAATTCAGATAAGAGTTTTTATGTTCCAGAGATAATCCCATGATTTCTGTCTCCTCTAGGCAGATCTCCAGCCCTAAGACTCCTGTGTGGGTGATGGTCTTGGCAAAAGCTTCCAGTCCCTGAGTCTCCCAGGTGACCAGACTCCCAGAGCACCCTGGCACAAAGTCCTGAGTTCTTAAAAATCTGTCACTCACGCAAGAAGCTGCACTTGCAGCAGAGGCAACATCTGTCGTTCCTTCTTCCTTGACCGCTTAAAGATGTTGTTCTCCTCCTCATGAAGGGAGTGGCGGTCTGTGGTACAGGGCACATCCACCAGCACCTACCCAGAGTGTTAAAAGGTAAAGTATTAAAGCTCCTTACAGGCTTCCCTTCCTTAGGCCGGAGCTATTTTAGGTCCCTGGCCTAGGAGGTTTGTGAAATACTCCCTCTGCCCATCATTCATTTGCAGAGTACCTTCCTCATTTTAACTTGGTAGACAATTATGAAATAATGAGTGGGGAAATAGCATATTTGGGAATATTCATGGCTGGTCAAAAAGCCAAAACCAACATGCAAATAATTATAATTTTTTTTTTTAATTTTTAGAGACAAATCTTGCTCATTTGCCCAGACTGGAGTACAGTGGTATGATCATAGGTCACTGCAGCCTCACACTCCCTGGGATCAAGCAATCCTCGCACCTCAACTCCTGTGTAGCTGGAACCACAGGTGCAAACCACCACTCCTGCCTAATTTTTGTATTGTTTGAGGGACAGCATCTCGCTATGTTGCCCAGGCTAACTATAAGATAATTCTTTAAACAGTGCACTTATGATTTGGTCACTTCTGTGTTACACTCTAATAGGAAAGTTATTACAGTCTGGGCAACAAAGTGAGACCCCTATCTGTACAAAAAATTTTTTTTAATTAGCTGGGCATGGTGACTGAAATGGAAGGAACACTTGAGCCCAGGAGGTTGAGGCTGAAGTAAGTCAAGATTGTGCCACTGTACTTGAGATACAGTGAAACTTTGTCTCAAAAAGATAAATAAATAAAATAAAGTTATTAGAAAATTATGACAGGAGGCTGGGTGCAGTGGCTCACATCTGCAATCCCAGCACTTTGGGAGGCCGAGGTGGGCAGAGCTCTTGAAGGTCAGGAGTTCAAGACCAGCCTGACCAACATGGTGAAACTCCAACTCTACTAAAAAAATAAAAAAATAAAAAAATAAAAAATTAGCTGGGTGTGGTAGCAGCACTCCTGTAGTCCCAGCTACTCAGGAGGCTGAGGTGGAAGAACTGCTTGAACCTGGGAGGCAGAGGTTGCGGTAAGCCAAGATCATGCCACTATACTCCAGCCTGGGTGACAAAGTGAGACTTTGCCTCAAAAAAAAAAAAAAGAAAGAAAGAAAGAAAGAAAATTGGTTAGGCGTGGTGGCTCACGCCTGTAATCCCAGCACTTTGGGAGGCTAAAGTGGGTGGATCACCTGAGGTCAGGAGTTTGAGACCAGCCTGACCAACATGGTGAAAGCCTGTCTCTACTAAAAATATAAAAATTAGCCAGGCATAGTGGTGGACGCCTATAATTCCAGCTACTCAGGAGGCTGAGGTAGGAGAATCACTTGAACCCAGGAGGTAGAGGCTGTAGTGAGCTGAGATCATGCCATTGCACTCCAGCCCGGGTGACAGAGTGAGACTCCATCTCAAAGAAAAAAAAAAAGCAAGCAAGCTGTGGAAGTTTCCCCAACCCCAAAAGGAGGAAATGTCTATAGATTATTTCCTTACTCCTTCTCAGTGTCCTGAGGAGTGGCCAGAACTCTTGGGAAGATGGCTGCAAAGTATACTTAGGAACGCTGAACTCCTGAGCCCCTAATGCATAGAAAGAACAGAGCTATGTAATTGTAAGGGGACTATAAATCAATGGCAATATATCTGAATATCTTGGTTCTAATATATTTCAAATATTGCTTCACTAGTGTCAACTGTGGAAAATGCTCATTTTGGGAGGCCAAGGCCCGTGGATCACTTGAGCCCAGGAGTTCAAGACCAGGCTGGGCAACATGATGAAACCCCATCTCTATAAAAAATTTTAAAAAAAATTAACTGGGTATGGCAGTCCCAGGTACTTGAAAGGATGAGACAGGAGAATTGCTTGAGCCCAGGAGGCAGAGGTTGCAGTGAGTCAAGATTGTGCCACTGACTCCAGCCTGGGTGATGGGAGTAAAACCCTGTCTCAAAAATTTAAAAACATGTTGATCTCACTCAGTCACATCAGAAAGAAAAGGAAGTTGTACTACCCTTAGGAAACATTTAGGGAGGGTAGCCAAATCATTCCACGTCAGACATGGCATGTGCATCTTCACATCAGGCACTGGCATGGATGTCAGTCATAAATAATCAATCCTGCCAGGATCGTGCTCCTGCTTAATCTCAGCCCTGGGCAAGTATCTAACAAATATTTCTATTAATATTAATTTGCATAATATTGTATTATAAGGGAAGATAGAAATGTGTTCAAACAAACATTGTATCATTTGAAATAAACTTGAGCTCACACAAAAAAAATAAAGTTGTGAGTTGGGGGAAGGGTGTCTTCCATGAACATGCAGATCTCTGAGGTCCTGTCCCTTCTCCAGCTGATAGACAAGTGAAGCCGGGAGAGGGATGGAGTTACCAAGAGTGTGTAGAGCCCTGAGATAGCATTCTTCTTTGCATCTAAAGTGCCTAACATGGCTGGGCACGGTAGCTCACTCCCATAATCCCAGTGCTTTGGGAGGCTGAGACAGGAGGATCATCTGAGCTCAGAAATTCAAGACCAGCCTGGACAACATAGTGAGACCTCATCTCTACAGAAACTTAAAAAACTAGCTGGGCATAGTGCACATGCCTGTAGTCCCAACTACTTGGGATTTTGAGGTAGGAGGATCACTTAAGCCCAGAAAGCCAAGAATGCAGTGAGCCATGATTGTGCCACTGCACTCCAGCCTGGGCAACAGAGCAAGACCTTGTCTCAAATAAATAAAGTGCTTAACACTTGCCTACCACAGAGTATATTGTATACAACTAGTTTTTCAACAAGCAAATTAACAAAGATATCTTCAAACATCAAAGCTGTCAAGTGAAATAGGAGGTCACCCATTCTATATTATTCTAAAATACGTAGCTAGGATCAATGAAAAGAAATAATAATAATAATGGTGGCCGGATGCGGTGGCTCACACCTGTAATCCCAGCACTCTGGGAGGCCAAGGTGGGTGGATCATGAGGTCAGGAGTTCGAGACCAGCCTAACCAATATGGTGAGGACCGCCCCCCATCTCCACTAAAAATACAAAATTAGCCAGGCATAGTAGCACATGCATGTAGTTCCAGCTACTCAGGAGGCTGAGACAGAAGAATTGCTTGAACCCAGGAGGCAGAGGTTGCAGTGAGCTGAGATCACTACACTCCAGCCTGGGTGACTGGAGTGCAGTGATTTTTTTTTTTTCCATCTCAAAAAAAAATAATAATAATAATGGTAAGGGTTGTGATGTTATAATACTATTGAATGTTTTCTATATTCCAGACTTTGTGTCAAATGCATTGTTATTTAATTATGACCTACAGGATAGGCACTATACTATTACCTCATTTTACAGATGAAAAGGCTGAAACTTAAGTGAAAAGTTAAGTAATTCACCCAAACTTCTCTAGCTAACAAGTAATGGAACCAGGACTAATCCAAGCAGTCTAACTCCAGAATCCTTGCACTCACCCACATACCATGCAATCTACAGACTTTAATTCAGTAAGAGGCAGAACTTTCTAACATTTTAAGTGTTCAACAACAGAATCTCAGTGAGCACCCATCAACAGATGTGTGTAAGCATAGGCTGAATAATGATGATGGCTCCTGCTTGCCTGACCTTCACCGCCAGGTACTCTCACTGAATCCTCACAATAATCCTAAGTGGTAGGTTTACCCTATTTCACAAATGAAGAAGTTGAAGTTCAGCAAGATCAACAGCTTGCCTTAGGTAGCACCCCTGTAATGTAGAAACTGGTTAGACTGACAGCAGAGGTCATGCTCTCGCCACCATGATCTGCGGCTCTCGTATCAAGAAAAACGAATAGGCCAGGCGCAGTGACTCACACCTATAATCCCAGCACTTTGGGAGGCCGAGGCGAGTGGATCATTTGAGGTCAGGAATTCAAGACCAGCCTGACAAACACAGTGAAACTCCGTCTCTACTTAAAAAAAAATTAGCCAGTCATGGTGGCGCACACCTGTAATCCCATACTTGCGGGGCTGAGGCAGGAGAATCGCTTGAACCTGGGAGGCGGAAGTTTCAATGAGCCAAGATTGCGCCACTGCACTCCAGCCTGGACAACAAGAGCAAAACTCTGTCTCAAAAAAAATTTTTTTTTTAATGAATAGGGGATTCCTACACAGGCAGAAAGCAAGTCTCAAGTCTATCCAAGATTCCATAAGCCTTGGTTTTTCTTTCAGTTTCTTAGAGTGGTTGAGGCAGAATGGTGAGAATTAGACAGGTTAGGTAAATCAGATGACAACACAGAGACAACATCCATATATATATATATATATATATATATATATAAAATATGTATATATATATATATATATATATATTTTTTTTTTTTTTTGAGACAGAGTTTCGCTCTTGTTACTCAGGCTGGAGTGCAATGGCACGATCTAGGCTAACCACAACCTCCGCCTCCTGGGTTCAAGCAATTCTCCTGCCTCAGTCTCCCGAGTAGCAGGGACTACAGGTGTGTGCCACCATGCCCAGCTAATTTTTGTACTTTTAGTAGAGATGGGTTTCACCATGTTGACCAGGATGGTCTTGATCTCTTGACCTCGTGATCCACCCGCCTCAGCCTCCCAAAGTACTACGATTATAGGCGTGAGCCACCATGCCTGGCCTATTTTATATATTTTTAAAAATATGTGTTCTAAACAAATATTTTTAGAGTATGCCATTTAAAAGAAATAACTTAAAAACATGAAGAGACTGGCCGAGCACAATGGCTTGCAACTATAATCCCAGCACTCTGGGAGGCTGAGGTGGGAGGACTGCTTAAGCCCAAGATTTCAAGGCCAGCCTGGGCAACACAGTGAGATGGAGTCTACAAAAATAATTAGCAGCTGGGCATGGTGGTGCACTCCTCTAGTCTCAGCTACTAGGGAAACTGAGGCAGGAGGACCCCTTGAGCCCAGGAGGCTGAAGGTGCATTGAGCTGTGTTCACACCACTGTACTCCAGCCTGGGTGACAAAGTGAGAACCTGTCACTCAAAAAATAAATAAATAAATAAATATGGAGACTTAGCAATCTCTATCAAAATCTAAAATGCATATAAACTGCTATACAGCAACTATACTTCAAAAATATAAACTTAAAAAAAAAACTTAAAATATAAAAAAACAAAAATATAAACAATCTTAACCCCAGTACACATTAGTAAATGAAAAAAATACAAAGTTCAGGTCGGGCGCTGTGGCTCACGCCTGTAATCCTAGCACTTTGGGAGGCCAAGGTGGGTGGATCATCTGAGGTCAAGAGTTCAAGACCAGCCTGGCCATCATGGTGAAACCCCATCTTTAAAAAAAAAAAAAAATACAAAGTTCAGAATAGTGAGTATAATATACTAACACTATTTTAAAACACACACACACACACATTTACATTCATATATACAAATAACACATTTTTTTTTTTTTTTTTTTTTTTTTGAGACAGAGTTTCGCTCTTGTTACCCAGGCTGGAGTGCAATGGCGCGATCTCGGCTCACCGCAACCTCCGCCTCCTGGGTTCAGGCAATTCTCCTGCCTCAGCCTCCTGAGTAGCTGGGATTACAGGCACGTGCCACCATGCCCAGCTAATTTTTTGTATTTTTAGTAGAGACGGGGTTTCACCATGTTGACCAGGATGGTCTCGAGCCACCGCACCCGGCCAAATAACATATTTTTAAAGATACAGAAAAAAAGTAGAAACAATGGTTATCTATAGGGAAGTAGAGGGCTACAGGCCAGAAGAGAGAAACTCACTTTTCCCTGGACACTCTTTTGTGCCTTCTGAATTTTGTACATGTGCTGCACTAACATTCAAAAATAAATAAATGGGCCGGGCACAGGGGCTCACACCTGTAACCCCAGCACTTTGGGAGGCCGAGGGGGGTGGATCACCTGAGGTCAGAAGTTCGAGTCCAGCCTGACCAACATGGTGAAACCCCGTCTCTAATTATTTAAATAAAATATTAATAAAATAAATATTCATACTTATCTTCATGAGGCTTTCTGAGCAGCCAAGTAACTTGAGAAATAAAGTAAGCCTAATAACTTCTTTCCCCACTCAGATAGGTTAAAATTATTTTTTGCTGCCAACTGTCTTTAATAAAGATAATAATCAGTTATCTAAGCTGATTTTTCTTTCTTTCTTTCTTTCTTTCTTTTTTGGTCAAATCACCAATGGAGAGTTGGCCAGGTCCAGAAATAGTCCTACATGCTCAAACACAAGGGCTAGATCCTACCCCTCTGGCCCTGGGGCCAGGATGGGGAGGCCATATTAAGCTGGATGCATGCCCTAAGTCAAGAATCACTCACCCGGTCAAAGGTGTCCCCCTCTAGTTCTCCCCATTTCCTGCCATCCCATGAGGTAACTCGAACTTGATTTCCATCCCTGATCTCTTGAGGCACATAGCTGTGAAGGATCTTCTGTAGTCTGGCTATTCGAGAAGTGGAGAGATCATTAGCTGCAAGACTGCCTGTGGAAATAAAGATACTTCAGAGTCCATATACCAGTGAAACATTCCACCAGCAATGGCACTGATGGAGTCAGACCAATTCTCAGGCAGTCCCAGCCAACGCAAACTCCAGCATCAGGAACATTTATTATGTGGACGGCAGAGCATCAGTCATTCTGGAATGGGGTTACAAAGGCAAACACCTACATAGGCCAGAAAGTTGTTTTTTTTTTTTTTTTGAGACGGAGTTTCGCTCTTGTTACCCAGGCTGGAGTGCAATGGCGCGATCTCAGCTCACCGCAACCTCCGCCTCCTGGTTTCAGGCAAGTCTCCTGCCTCAGCCTCCTGAGTAGCTGGAATTACAGGCACGCGCCACCATGCTCAGCTGATTTTTTGTATTTTTAGTAGAGACGGGGTTTCACCATGTTGACCAGGATGATCTCGATCTCTTGACCTCGTGATCCACCCGCCTCAGCCTCCCAAAGTGCTGGGATAACAGGCGTGAGCCACCGCGCCCGGCAGAAAGTTGTTTAAGTAAATGAATAAAGCAGATCAGGTAAGACTCCTTTCCTTTCCTGTTTCCTCTCCCCCCTTCCCTTTCTCTCCATCTCTTTCCCCTTTTCCCTTTCTCAATTTCCTTTCCTTTCCCCTCTCCTTTCGCCTTTTCCTTTCTTTTCTTCTCCCCTTTCCCCTTACCCTCTCCTCCCTTTCCTTTCCTTCCTTTTTTTTCTCTTTCTTCTTTTTATTTTTTTGAGACAGAATCTCGCTCTGTCACCCAAGCTAGAATGCAGTGGCACAATCTCGGCTCACTGCAACCTGCACCTACTGGGTTCAAGCAATTCTCATGCCTCAGCCTCCCAAATACCTGGGATTACAGGTGTGCACCACTACACCTGGCTAATTTTTGCATTTTTAGTAGAGACAGGGTTTCGCCATGTTGGCCAGGCTGGTCTTGAAATCCTGACCTCAGGTGCTCCCGCCTGTCATCCCAGCACTTTGGGAGGAGGCCAGAGTGGATTGCTCGAGCCCAGGAGTTCAAGATCAGCTTGGGCAACATAGCAATACCTCATTTCTACGAAAATAAAAAATAAAAATAATTTTTTAAAAAGAGGCCAGGCGCAGTGGTTCACGCCTGTAATCCCAGCACTTTAGGAGGCTGAGGCAGGCAGATAACAAGGTCAAGAGTTCAAGACCAGCCTGATCAACATGGTGAAACCCCGTCTCTACTAAAAATACAAAAATTAGCCAGGCGTGGTAGCACCTACCTGTAATCCCAGCTACTCAGGAGGCTGAAGCAGGAGAATTGCTTGAATCTGGGAGGCAGAGGTTGCAGTGAGTCAAGATCAAGCCACTGCACTCCAGCCTGGGCAGCAGAGTGAGACTCCATCTCAAAAAAAAAAAAAAAATGACTGGGTGTGGTAGCTCATGGCTGTAATCCCAGCACTTTGGGAGGCCAAGGTGGGTGGATCACCTGAGGTCAGGAGTTCGAGACCAGCCTGACCAATAAGGTGAAACCCCGTTTCTATTAAAAATACAAAAATTAGCCAGGCATGGTGGCAAGTGCCTGTAGCCCTAGTACTCAGGACGCTGAGACAGGAGAATTGCTTGAACCTGGGAGGTGGAGGCTGCAGTGAGCCAAGATTGTACCACCGCACTCCAACCTAGGCAATAGAGTAAGACTCTGTCTCAAAAAAAAAAGACACTGGGTCTCACTATGTTGCCCAGGTGGGTCTTGAATTCCTGGCCTCACGCAATTCTCCCACTTTAGCCTCCCAAAGTGCTGGGATGACAGGTGTGAGCCATCATGCCCAGCCAAGAATATTTATTTCTAAAAACATATGCTCTCCCACTATTCTGGAAACTTGTGTCTCTCTTCATCTTTGGTAGATACTACAGGTTATTTACCCAAAATTATTCTTCTCTTACTCCTTTGGAATATAACCCCAATTTTTTGGAAGGAGAAAATGTGCCCCAAAAGACTACATTTCTCAGCCTTTCTTTTACAACTAAGTATGAGTATAAAACTATTTTTTGGGCCGGGTGCGGTGGCTGAAGCCTGTAATTCCAGCACTTTGGGAGGCTGAGGCGACCTGATCATGAGGTCAAGAGATCGAGACCATCCTGGCCAACATGGTGAAACCCCATCTCTACTAAAAATACAAAAAAAAAAAAAAAAAATTAGCTGGGTGTAGTGGCATGCACCTGTAGCCCCAGCTACCCAGAAGGCTGAGGCAGGAGAATTGCTTGAACCTGGGAGGCGGACTGTTGCAGTGAGCCGAGATCGCACCACTGTACTCCAGCCTGATGCCTGGTGACAGAGCGAGACTCTGTCTCAAAATATATATATAAAACTAACTTTTGGTCATAGTTGTAGGCAGAAGTATTGGATGGGAATTCTCGGAAGATATTTTTTAAAAGCTGACATATTGGGAGATGAAATAAGTCTCTTCTGCCCAATCCTTTCTTCCTGATTCAAATATGATGGCTGGACTTCCGGCAGTCATCTTGGACCACGAGGCTTTGCCTTACAGCTTTACTAGTTATATATCTTCTCCCTTTTTTATTTTTATTTTTTTTTGAGACGGAGTCTCCCTATATTGCCCAGTGCAGTGGCATGATCTCGGCTCACTGCAACCTCCACTTTCCAAGTTCAAGCGATTCTTCTGCCTCACCCTCCTGAGTAACTGGGACTACAGGCATGCCCTCCCATGCCTGGTCTTCTTGTATTTTTAGTAGAGACGGGTTTTACTATATTGGCCAGGCTGGTCTTGAACTCCTGACCTTGTGATCTGCCTGCTTTGGCCTCCCAAAGTGTTGGTATTACAGATGTGAGCCACCCCACCCAGCCATATCTTCTCCCTCTTAAAGGGACGGAGGCTAAGGCTGACACTAGCAACAAAATACACTGCAGAAGGCTGGGCGTGGTGGCTCATGCCTGTAATCCAAGCACTTTGGAGGCCAAGGCGGGCGGATCACCTGAGGTTGGGAGTTCAAGATCAAAATACACTGCAGAAGGAAAAAGGGAGCTCAAGATGATTGTGACACCTCCATACCTGAACTGCCTATATCTCAGCTTCTCTTACGTAAGAGATAAATTAATATTTCCTCTTTAGGCCAATTAGTTGGGTGTTCTTTCGTATGCAACCAAGCCTAATTCTGATTTACCATCTATGTTTCATTTTGATTTCAAGAAACATGATTTCAAGAAATATCTCACTTTGCTCTTAGTGCTACTATGAGAAAAAACTGCAAGTTTTATGATAAATGACAGTTGGTACCTGGCCTCTGAGTCAAAGAGCAACAAAGTAGGGCAGGAATGGTAAAGAATCAGAGTGTCCACCTTATCTAATGGGAGTGGTCATACTATGAACCAGCTTAGTATTCCCACAAAGAAATGTCTTCTTTTTTTAAATTTTAACGCAGACGAGGTCTCACTACGTTGCCCAGGCTAGTCTCGAACTACTACTGGACTCAAGTATTTCACCTGCCTCGGCCTCCTAGCCTGTCTCTGCTGAGATTACAGGTGTGAGTTACTGCCCGCCAGCTGCCACCAGCCAATGTCTCCGTTTTTCTGTTTTTGTTTGTTTGTTTGTTTGTTTGTTTTGTTTTTGAGATGGAGTTTCGCTCTTGTTGCCCAGGCTGGTGCAATGATTCGATCTCGGCTCACCACAACCTCCACCTCCCAGGTTCAAGCAATTCTCCTGCCTCAGCCTCCCGAGTAGCTGGGATTACAGGCATGTGCCACCACGCCTGGTTAATTTTGTATTTTTAGTAGAGATGGGGTTTTTCCATGTTGGTCAGGCTGGTCTCAAACTCCCAACCTCAGGTGATCTGCCTGCCTCGGCCTCCCAAAGTATTAAGATTACAGCCATGAGCCACCGTGCCTGGCCAATGTTTCCATTTTTTTTAGTGCACTCAAAGAAGTAAAAATTGGCTGGGTATGGTGGCTCATGCCTGTAAGCCCAGCACGTTGGGAGGCTGAGGCAGGCAGATTACAAGATCAGGAGTTGAGATCACCCTGGCCAAAATGGTAAAACTTGTCTCTACTAAAATACAAAAAATTAGCCAGGAACAGTGGCACACACCTGTAGTACCAGCTACTCAGGAGGCTGAGGCAGGGGAATTGCTTGAACCCGGGAGGCAGAGGTTGCAGTGAGCCAAGATCGTGCCACTGCATTCCAGCCTGGCAACAGAAAAAGAACTCATTTCAAAAAAAAAAAAAAAAAAAGCAGCCGGCACGGTGGTTCACGCCTGTAATCCAAGCACCCTGGGAGGCTGAGGCAAGCGGATCACCTGAGGTCAGGAGTTCAAGACCAGCCTGACCAACATAGTGAAACCCTGTCTTTATTTTTTTTTTTTTTTTAAAAAAAGAAGTAAAAATTGGATTCCCTTCTCTCTAGAGGAATTTGCAGAATGATATGAACCAAGAAAAAGGAAGATGCGTTCCAGTTCTGGCTCTACCTCCAACTCCTGTAGGATTTATTTAATCTCCACAGATCTCAGTTTCTCCCTCCATAAAACACGAAGGCTAGACTAAGCAAACCCTAATTTCCCTTCCTATACAAATTCTGTTATCCTGTCTTCTTGGGATCAAGAGCCAGTCACTTGAGTGAGGAGCTGGGATGAAGGTGAGGTGCTGATAGTTCAGCACGCCTTAGAAAAACAACTCTCAATTATTTCTTCTTTGCCCTTCCTCCTCCTCCAAGTAACCCTACCCTCACTCATCTCCCTTCTAATGGATTCCCACAGCATTCAGTCAGATCAGAATTGTCCAGCACACAGGCTGGGCTCTCTTGCATTGGATTAATTAAGCCTATGACCCCATCTTTTCTTCTCTCCCTCTGGACTTCCAGAAGGCTATGACCAAATGTGATTCCTCTCTGAATCAACCATTGCCTATCATAAGGCTGGATGCTAACTCAAACCGTGCAAGCTGGCTGACAAGGGCTGGAAAAGAAGGGTCTAGGCCCAACAGAATGGCTTGGGCACAGGGCAAGAGAAGCTTGACTGAGCTCTAGGTTAGGTGTGTAAATCACAGCCCCTTGTGGGTATTCCTCGGGAGTCCAAAGGAAAGAATACAATCTATTTTAAGGCAGGATATTGGCCAGTAGATGGCTGAAGTGAGTAATTAACAGTGCACAAGGCCTGGGCTCGGCTACTCTACTGAGACAAGTAAGACACAGGCTTATTCCCAAGGAATCCATCATCTTTAAGAGGAAGAAGATATATAACTAGTAAAGCTCTAAAGCAAGGCTAATGTTGCAAGGGCGATGCCCATGCTGTGGGAGCATAGGAGACAGGCAATCATTTCTGAACTGGCCAGCAGAGGTAATAAGGAAAGACATCCAGGGTATGGCACACTTGAGCTGAGGCTTGAAAGTCAAAAGGAATTAAACAGCCAGGATGAGGGAATTCCAGAGAAAACTGAACAAAAGCAAAGGCAACAGAGAGTAGCAGAGTAAGGTTGAAGCACATAAAGCCTGGAAGAGTGATATATAAAGCTTATGTTATATATATATATATATATATATCTATGTATATATATATATATATATATATACATATATATATATCTATGTATGTATGTAGGTGTATATATATGGTGTGTGTGTGTGTGTGTGTGTGTGTGTGTGTGTATATATATATATATATATATATATATATATAATTTTTTTTTTTTTTTTTTTTTAATGAGATGGAGTTTTGCTCTTTTTGGCCAGGCTGGAATGCAATGGCATGTTCTTGGCTCACTGCAAACTCTGCCTCCCAGATTCAAGCAATTATCCTGCCTCAGCCTCACAAGTAGCTGGGATTACAGGTGACTGCCACCACGGCCATCTAATTTTTTGTATTTTTAGTAGAGACGGGGTTTCACCATATTGGTCAGGCTGGTTTTGAACTCCTGACCTCAGGTGATCCACCTGCCTCAGCCTCCCAAAGTTCTGTGATTAAGACAGGAGCCAGCAGGCCTGGCACATAAAACATATAAATGGTGGCTGCAGGCAGGTCTTACCATTTTAGCTGGTAGGCTTAACCTTAGAGGAAAAGTAAACAGATGAAGAGAGGTGAGTGTCATGTGATCAACTGATCAGAGCCTTACTTTAATCTGCCTTCAGACAACTTGCTCAGCAATCTTTCTTGACCAACTGACAGAGAAAGAGAGGAATTAATGGCAAGAAGAAAAAATACACAAGCTTAGCAAGTAAGTATTACTCTCCACTCTGACTTTGGGACCAGAGAACCTATCCCTTTTTTTTTTTTTTTTTTTTTGGTGAGACAGGATTTCACTCCGTCACCAAGGCTGGAGTGCAGTGGCACAGTCTCGGCTCACTGTAACCTCCACCTCCCAGGTTCAAGCAATTCTTCTGCCTCAGCCTCCTGAGTAGCTTATATTACAGGAGTGTGCCACTACACCTGGCTAATTTTTATATTTCACCATGTTGACCAGGCAGGTCTGGAACTCCTGACCTCAGGTGATCCACCTGCCTCAGCCTCCCAAAGCGCTGGGATTACAGGCATGAGCCACCGCACCCAGCCAAACCTACCATATTCAATGTACCTGGGACTAGGTGATGTGGGGAGCTCTCTCTGCCCAAAACACCAGCACTCTAAAAAAAATTAAATTAAAAGAAAAAACAAAAAACACCAGCACCCTGACTTACGGCAACAGCCAGTCTGAAGCAACGCTAGCGTCTTTCCCCCAGGAGCTGCACATAGGTCAAGCACGATGTCCCTGGGCTGCAGGCCAAGGGCCAGGACAGGCAGCAAGGAGGCAGCATCCATCAGGTAGTAGTCCATGACACCCAGGTTGCCAGGTCTGGAAAAGAGGAGACCACTTCATTGTCAAATTCCAGGTCAGGACACCCACTGGGAGTCAAGGCTACCAAGTCCATGCCCTCTGGGGCCTGAACTCCAAACAGTAAAAACTCATTTCTCAGACCCATACTTAGACACTTAATCATTCATCTATACAGGAGCCAGAATGATCCTTTATTTATTTATTTTGAGACGGAGTTTCACTTTCGTTGCCCAGGCTGGAGTTCGGTGGCACGATCTCGGCTCACTGCAACCTCTGCCTCCCGGGTTCAAGTGATTATCCTCTCAGCCTCCTGAGTAGCTGAAATTACAGGCACCTGCCACCACACCCGGCTAATTTTTTGTATTTTTAGTAGAGACAGGGTTTCACTACGTTGACCAGGCTGGTATGGAATGCCTGACCTCAGGTGATCCACTCACCTCAGCCTCCGAAGGTGCTGGGATTATAGGAGTACCCAGCCTCGAATGATCCTTTAAAAACACAGATCAGTCCAGGCACATGCCTGTAATCCCAGCACTTTGGGAGGCTGAGGCAGGCGATCATCTGAGGTCAGGAGTTCCAGATCAAATCATGCCATTGCACCCCAGGCTGTGCAAAAAAGACCAAAACTCCATCTAAAAAAAAAAATCACTCCAATATAGACAGACTAGCCACCTTGCTGTTCCTTAATTAAGCCACACATGCTCCTGTTTAAGGCTTCTGCAGTTGCTACACCTTCTACCTGCAACACTCCTCCCTCAAGTATCCCTGATTTGCTTCCTCACTTCTTTCAGGTCTCTCCTCAAAAGTTACATCAAAAAGACTGGCATTCCTTGACTACTCACTACTCTATATAAAGTAACAGCCACCAAAGCTGGGCATGATGATATACACCTGTAATCCCAGCTACCTGGGAGTCTGATGAAGGAGGCTCACTTAAGCCCAGGAGTTCAAAGCCAGTCTGGGCAAGATAGTGAGATCCCATCTCAAAAATAAGTGTTCTAAAATCACAGACCCTAATTGTCATCACCTTCCACCTCCCTACCTTGCATTATTTTTCTTTAAAGCACTTATTATTCACTTTATATTGAAGAAGGGAATTAAATAATAGCAATAATAGTAAAAACCTATAATTTGTATTTGCTATTTAATAAGTAAATTTTGCTGTGTTGTGTGTTGTTTGATATAAAACCTAACCCCCAGTTCTGCTTAAAATTAACTAACTCCCTGTAAAACCTACTTTATCTATTCTCCCCACATTCTCAGCAAAGTTCCCAGACATCTCAAGACTCCTGTTTTTCTTGCTGACCAGCTGCAAGGTCACAGGGCAAGATAACACCCAAAGAATGTTCAATGCCACTTCTCAAAATGCTGTTTTTCAAATGTAACGTGCATCACAAGACATGTTACAAATTAATTGTTCTTTGTTCTGGCTTCTGTAAACTTGTTAGCTGCTACCTTATCCTGGATGAATAAAAATATCCCATTTTCTTTCTCCTTTGCTCAGCCTTGGGATACTAATCCGATGATCACCCTAATAAAATCCTCCTGTTTTACCCATTGGTCTCTCCAGTCTCCTGAATATTCTACAACAATATGTACAGAGGTGTGTGTGCATGTGTGTAGGCATGTATGCATTTTTCCCTATTTCCCCCCATTAGAATGTTAGCTCCATAAGTGCAGAGATTTCATCTGCTTTGTCCATTGTACTATCCCCCAGCACCTGGAAAAGGACCTGGCACATAGTAGGAAGTTAGTTTTATTGGGTTACATATTGAGATACAAAGGGCTTCATGGATTCAGAGAGAAGTGCCATCAATTGTGCTTGTCTGAGTTACTTGAGCTGGGCCTGATGGACGAATAGAAGGCCTTCATTAGGTAATAATGGAAGAGAAGCAGTCCAAACAAAAGAAAAAAGAATGAGCACAGGCACAGAAGCATACAAACTCATAGCTTCTTTCAGAAATAGTGAGAAATCTGACATGACAGAAACACAAAATACATGCGATTGAGGTTGGAAAATAGATTGAGGCCAGATTGTGAAAGGTCTTAAACTCTATGCTAAGGAGTGTGAACTACAATCTATAAGCAGTTACCAAAACATTTTAAGAAAAACGACATGATCAAATAGACCCAAGTTTTAGAAAGCTAGGTAGGCTAGAAGAAACACAATTAGAGACAGAGATACCAGAGGCAGCAACAGCATGAATAGAGCGGGAGGGATGGATCAGCAGGCTCATGTCACAGGACTCCCTACTCCCAGGCCAGTTGTCACAAGAGAAGTTGGTGGTGAGCAGTCATTCCCCTGCCTGAGAGGTAGCTCAGCAAGGACAGGCTTGGGGACAGACTCAAGGAGACAGAAACCCTCACAGGATAGGTCTGGGAGACAAGGCATAAGACAAAGTATAGCACCACTGAGGGTCAGCTACAAGAGCTACAATCCCCAGTCCTAAGACTCTAACACCTCCAGCCTCCAGCATTCACAAATAGGCTCATGCTTGATATTTGATATTTTCAAAGACAAATCATGCTTGGGTTGTTGGTGAAACTGTGTACCTCAGCCCTCACAAAAGAGAATAACCAAAAGACTGAGAAATCTAAGAAAAGCACAAGCCGGGTGCAGTGGCTCAAGCATGTAATCCCAGCACTTTGGGAGGCTGAGGCGGGTGGATCACGAGGTCAAGAGATTGAGACCATCCTGGTCAACATGGTGAAACCCCGTCTCTACTAAAAATACAAAAAATTAGCTGGGCATGGTGGCACGTGCCTGTAGTCCCAGGTACTCAGGAGGCTGAGGCAGGAGAATTGCCTGAACCCAGGAGGCGGAGGTTGCGGTGAGCCGAGATCGCGCCATTGCACTCCAGCCTGGGTAACGAGCGAAACTCCGTCTCAAAAAAAAAAAAAACTACAATTTTGCAGACAATTTCTGTACTTCCTGAATAGATCATTGAACTCCTGGGATCCTTTTGATTTCATAGGGAACCCATCAGAATCAGAAGGGGAAAAAAACAAAACAAACTTATAGGGGTTTTGGTGAAAGGACAAAAAACCTCCAGAAATGTGCCGTGGCCTGCTCCCTTACCGATCTCAGGAGTTCCTCAATCAACATGGTTCTTACCCCATGGTTCTGCTTAATGTCAATGCTTCCAAATTGACATTAACTCTGGCCCAATCGATCACCCACTATACAGTGACTAAAATTATCTTCCTGAGCATAACTTTAATGAGAATCAATACTGAAGGCTGGGCAGAGTGGCTTAACATCTGTAATCCCAGCACTTTGGGAGGCTGAGGCAGGCAGATAGCTTGAGTCCAGGAATGTGAGACCAGCCAGGGTAACATGGCAAAACCCCTTCTCTACAAAAAATACAAAGAGAACCAACACTGGTGGTACTACTGATAAGTGCTATATTGCAGGCACTGTGCTAGGTGTTTAATATGTTTAATATGCGTAATTTGATTTAATCCTCGCTACAACTCTATAAGGGAGGTGAACCTGAATTCTAGAGCCAGACTAACTAAACCTCAAACCCAGCACAGTTGCTCATTAGTTGTGTGACTTTCAGCAAATTTCTCAAATTCTTTGTGCCTCAGTTTCTTTTCTTTTTCTTTGTTTTTTTTTTTTTTTCTTTTTTGTGCCTCAATTTCTTCATCTGCAAGAGTACCTCCCAGATAGGGTTACTGTGAGGATTGAAGGAATTAATATGTCAAGTGCTTGGAATAGTGGCTGGCACATAATGAGCTATAGAGTTAGCTATTATTGCTTTCCAGATAAGGAAATCAAGGCTCAGTTATCCAATGCCATATGTCTAATAAGTGGTGAAGCAGGGTCCAAATCCAGGTTTGCCTGACTCAAAAGCTCAGGCTTATAACCACTGTACATCACTGCCCTTCAGCTGCCTAACTGATCTTGGACATTCACAGCAATATGTACTAAAGGGCACAAGGCCCAAAGCCATGCAGCCCTGGCAATTCCAATCATTTGCAAGCCACTCATGGCCACCAGAAAAATCCTCTTCCCCAAATCTGCAAGCTCCTGGCATTCAAGATTCCCACATATGGCACGTCCATATACTTTTCCAGCTTGCTCACGCTCGCGCTCGCTCTCTCTCGCTCGCTCTCTCTCTCTCTCTCTCCTCATCTCTCAATCTTCATAAGCATACAGTATTCCTCCAAGCCAGAGGCTAGGACTATTGCAAGTCTCCTAATTTATATGCCCATTTCCAGCCTTGACCCCCTCCAATCTGTATTTCATGCAGTGCCCAGAATCATAATTTAAAAATTCATATTTAGGCTGGGTGCAGTGGCACCCTGTTATCCCAGCACTTTGGGAGGCCAAGGCGGGCAGATCACTTGAGGTCAGGAGTTTGAGACCAGCCTGGCCAACATGGTGAAACCCTGTCTCTACTAAAAATACAAAAATCCGGCCAGGCACAGTGGTTCACACCTGTAATCCCAGCAATTTGGGAGGTCAAGGTGAGTGGATCACCTGAGGTCAGGAGTTCAAGACCAGCCTGGCCAACATAGTGAAACCCTATCTCTACTAAAAATAAAAAAAATTAGTTAGGCATGGTGGTAGACACCTGTAATCCCAGCTACTCGGGAGGCTTAGGCGGGAGAATCACTTGAACCCAGGAGGTAGAGGTTGCAGTGAGCCAAGATCGCGCCATTGCACTCCAGCCTAGGCAACAGGGTGAGACTCCATCTCAAAAAAAAAAAAAAAAAATTAGCCAGGCATGGTGGTGGGCGCCTGCAGTCCCAGCTACTCTGAAGGCTGAGGCAGGAGAATCAATTGAACCCAGGAGGCAGAGTTTGCAGTGAGCCGAGATCACCCCCCTGCATTCCAGCCTGGCTGACAGAGTGAAACTCTATCTCAAAAAAAAAAAAAAAAAAAAGGCCAGGCGCGGTGGCTCACGCCTGTAATCTCAGCACTTTGGGAGGCTGAGGCGGGTGGATCACGAGGTCAAGAGATCAAGACCATCCTGGTCAACATGGTGAAACCCCGTCTCTACTAAAAATACAGAAAATTAGCTGGACATGGTGGCACGTGCCTGTAATCCCAGCTACTCAGGAGGCTGAGGCAGGAGAATTGCTTGAACCCAGGAGGCGGAGGTTGCGGTGAGCCGAGATAGCGCCATTGCACTCCAGCCTGGGTAACAAGAGCGAAACTCCGTCTCAAAAAAAAAAAAAAGAAAGTATCCAAAACCATAGGGCCTATAAGACCTTCATAATCAGGCCCCTGCTTGCTTCTATAGCTTCATGCTTGGCCTCTCAAGCATGATCCCTGATCCCCACCTCCATGCCATCAGCTTTAATTTCTACTTTTCACATCTTAGCTTAAATTTCACTTCCTCAGAAAAGACAGGGTTAGATTTCCTAATTAGAAGACCTTAGGCCAGGTGTGGTGGCTCACACCTATAATCCCAGCACTTTGGGAGGCTGAGGCAGGTGGATCATGAGGTCAGGAGTTTGAGACTAGCCTAACCAACACAGTGAAAACCTGTCTCTTTTAAAAATACAAAAAATTAGCCATCTCTTCTAAAAAACCTCATCTCTTCTAAAAATACAAAAAATTACAGGCGGGCACCTGTACTCCCAGCTACTAGGGAGGCCAAGGCAGGAGAATCAGTTGAACCCGGGAGGCAGAGGCTACAGTGAGCCGAGATCACGTCATTGTACTCCAACTCGGGTGACAGAGCAAGACTCCATCTCAAAAAAAAAAAAAAAAAAAAAAAAAGACCTTAGCATCTTGTATTTTTCCTCTATGGCACTTATCACCATTATAGTTTTGATGGAGTTTTTTTGGTTTTGTCTGTTTGTTTTTTCTTTTTTTTGGAGACAGGGTCTCGCTGTGTCACCCAGGCTGGAGTGGAGTGGTGCAATATTGGCTCAATATGGCCTCGACCTCCCAGGTTCAAGCAATCCTCCTGCCTCACTCTCCTCCGTAGCTGGGACTTCAGGGATCCACCAACACACTCAGCTAATTTTTGTATTTTTCTGTAGAGCCAGGGTCTCAGTATGTTTCCCAGGCTGGTCTTGAACTCCTGAGCTCAACTATCTTTCTTCCTGCCTTGGCCTTTCACAGAGCATGGATTATAGGCATGAGTTGCCATGCACAGTCGACAATTACAGTGTTTTATTTTTTTTGAGATGGAGTCTTGCTCTGCCACCCTGGCTAGAGTGCAGTGGCGCAATCTCAGTTTCCGTCTCCTGGGTTCAAGCAATTTTCCTGCCTCAGTTTCCTGAGTAGCTGGGACTACAGGTGTCAGCCACCACGCCTGGCTAATTTTTGTATATTTAGTAGAGATGAGGTTTGACCATGTTGCCCAGACTGGTTTTGAACTCTTCACCTCAGGTGATCTGACCATCTCAGCCTCGAAAAGTGCTGGGATTACAGGTGTGAGCCACCGTGCCGAGCCAATTACAGTTTATTAATAGCTGTCTTCCTCACTAAACTGGAAGCTCTATGAGGGCTTGTGCTTCCAGGCACTTAAATGCCAAGCATTTGGTAGACAGTATTTTTAAATAAATCAATCAGTCAGGCCTGGCACGGTGGCTCACACCTGTAATTCCAGCACTTTGGGAGGCCAAGGTGGGTGGATACAAGTTCAGGAGTTTGAGATCAGCCTGACCAACATGGTGAAACCCCATTTCTACTAAAAATACAAAAATTAGCCAGGTGTGGTGGCACACGCCTGTAATCCCAGCTAGTCGAGAGGCTCCATCTCAAAAAAAAAAGCCAGGCGCAGTGGCTCACACCTATAATCCCAGCACTTCAGGAGGCCGAGGCCGGCAGACCATGAGGTCAGGAGTTTGAGACCAGCCTGGCCAGCATGGTAAAACCCCATCTCTACTAAAGATACAAAAAATTAGCCAGGCATGGTGGCGTGTGCCTGTAATCCCAGTTACTTGGGAGGCTTAGGCAGGAGAATCGCTTGAACTCAGGAGGCGGAGGTTGCAGTCAGCTGAGATCACACCATTGCACTTCAGCCTGGGTGACAGGATGAGACTCCAGCTCAAAAAAAAAAAAAAATCAATCAGTCTTTCAAAAATCAATACCCATACCCTACAACTAATATTGAGCGCTCCTTAATTGTTAAACCGCAATTCAGCATTTGATTCTGGAGTCCTTTCTCACTCAAGTTCATATAAATTAGCATTGGATTAAGAAACTGGAAGTTCTCCTTTCTTTTTCCCAGTCTAGTACCAGCTTTGTGCCCCTAGGCCAGCCCTATTTCCTAGGAAAGTCCCACTACCTCTTTGCTACCATGAAGTTACTTTTCTTTTTTTTTTCTTTTTTTTTCCGAGACAGAGTTTCGCTCTTGTTACCCAGGCTAGAGTGCAACGGTGCGATCTCGGCTCACCGCAACCGCTGCCTCCTGGGTTCAGGCGATTCTCCTGCCTCAGCGTCCTGAGTAGCTGGGATTACAGGCACACGCCACCATGCCCAGCTAATTTTTTGTATTTTTTTTAGTAGAGACGGGGTTTCACCATGTTGACCAGGATGGTCTCGATCTCTTGACCTCGTGATCCACCCGCCTCAGCCTCCCAAAGTGCTGGGATTAGAGGCGTGAGCCACTGCGCCCGGCGAAGTTACTTTTCCTATTCACTTTGATGGGTGGCTGTGAGGGCGAAATGAGAAGTTACTGTGAATGACACACATTTCAACTTGAGAGCGCCTTGTGAGTGCTCATGTAAAAGGTGGCTGTTTTCTACCAGAGACATAGAGCAGAGTGGGTTCCGGGTCTAAATACTATCCACACCTCTTACCATCTGAGGGACCTAAAGCAAGGAAGAATCTTAACTTCTCTGTACCTCAATTTCCCCAAGTGTAAAAGAGGAACAATAATATTACCTACTTCATAAGGCTGTTGACAGAACAAAAAGAGATAACATATATACAGCACCTCAAAAAAATGCCTGGCCTGTATAAACATGCCGTTAAGTATTAGCAATACTATGGTCTTTATTACAGAGGGTACATGCTGGGTCTCGTCATATCCACGTCCAGCCTGCACTCAGTCTGCTCCAGTCATGGCTCCAGATCCTACCTGGCAGGAGGGAAGCGACTGACATCTCCTTTGGCAAAAGTGAAGCATCGAAGATTTGGACTGCAGGCCCAAGAAGGAGGGGATGGGGCTGTAGATTGGCTACCCTCAGACTGCAGTTCCCAGTGGGAGATGGCTTCCTTCACAAAGTCCTTGGCATTCAGCTGCTCCAGCTTAGCACTCACATGATCCCAGGCAGCAAAGTTATTGACCAGTGCACCATACTTCTGCTCTGAGAGGAGACTGACACGGATTGACGGCCAAAGATTTCCAAACTGCACACTGTAAGTCATGTCAAAATTCTGCAGAGCCAGTCGAACAGCAGGGAATTTGGGCTCTGTGGCAGCCTAAAAGACAAAGGACAGGCTTATTGGTTTTCCCAGTCTTGCCTCTACTCCCTACTACCTGACCCCACCTAAGAGCCAGAGGGCAAACTTGGATCCAGCTAGTGCCTACTCCTGCTTTTGCATCCTGCCTACCTGCCAGAGAAGTATGAGAGAGAAAAGTAATGGAGAGTAGGTCTTCCCATCCCAGGGTTGTCAGATAAAGACATAACTCTCACAGTACTGTGCAGGGGTCATCAAGAAGGGGAACCTTGGAGTAAGAGGAACTTAGGAGAATGGCAGCTCAGGAGAGGACTCTTGAGGAGAGCCTGCAGAAGGTTAGGAGAAACTATGGAGGCTCTGGGAAGCTTTGAGCTTAAAAGCAAAAGGCCCTTTTCCTCTGAACAGTCCTTCTATGTTCCAAAGCACTTTGACGTCTACTAGATTATGTGAGCACTACTAACTGACAGCTCAGTAGCATACAAAAAAAAATTAACAACATTTCAGTTTGATGGAAAGATGTGGGTAACTTACCTACCGTTATGCAGTGACTATAGCACAATGCTCAGAATCAGACAGTTGAGGGTCATGTTGGGAGAGTTTCCAGACCCCAGAAAGGTAGCATAAGGAGGGCCCACAGAATCTTGAGGTGTGAACTAAAACAGGGACTTGTAGGATGACTGCTATGAGGGTAGCAGAGAAGGACAAAAGGATAAGAGCAAGGAGGTAGAGTAAAAGAGAAATGAAGACTTCAGATGGGGAGTCCACAAGTTGGTCCTGGTTGCTGCAGCTGGGATGCTTGCTATTGCTGGCAATCTTGTTACTATCTATGCCTTGCTCTGGCCTAGATTTCTGGTCTGGTCAGAACTTTTGCTCTGGCCCTCATTTCTTGTTATGGTGAGGACTCTTGCTCTGACTATGACTTTTGCCCCTGCTGGGACTCTTGCTCTGGCTCCTGCTATGTTGGGGACTCTTGCTCTGGCCTTGACCTTTGCCACGTTGGGTACTCTTGCTCCGGTTCCGACTTTTCCGATGGTGGAGACTCTTGCTCTTGCCCTGACCTCTGCTAATTTGGGGACTCTCACCCTGGCGCTCATTTATGCTAAGGTGGGGACTCTCACTCTGGCCCTGACTTGTGTTTTGTTGAGGACTACGGCTCCCGCTCCGGCTTCTGCTAGGATAGGAACTCCTTTTCTGGCTCGGACTTCTGCTCAAATGATGGCTCTTGCTCCGGCTCTGACTTGTGCCATGATGCGGACTCTTGCTTTGGCTCTGAATTTGGCTTTGGTAGGAACTCCTGCTCTGGCTGTCACTACTCTGGCATTCGCTAATAACAGTTGAACTACAGCTGGGATTAGTGCTACAGCTGGAATCCTTGGATGAAGGCAAAGGGCAGCTGTAGGGGATCTGCAGGGGCTCTTTGCAAGGGCCTTGAGAGGCCACAGGGTAGATATGGAGGCCACAAGGGACAGTGTCAGGGTAGGCCCGGACTCGGGGGACAATGGGTAAACTTTGAGGATCAAAGGATGTTCTCAAAGGGATAAAAGAATAGATGTGAGTAGAACAAGGAGGCACCACAGGCTGGCAACGAGGTTGGGGTGGGCCCCTGGGAGTGCTATGGGTGTCACACAGAGGCACAATGGGAGGCGGGCCTGTCGAGTGATTGAGGGAGCCAGACAGTGGGCAGGGATGGGCAGGGGAGGGAACCACAGAGTATATATGGGTTTTGCAGGGGGGCCCATGGGGGCTGCTCTGAGCATAACTATTGGGCGAGACAGGATCACAAGGAAGGCAGAAGGGAAGAGAACTGGGGCTAATAGTTTTGAGGGTTCTAGGGACCGCAGTTGGTAAGGCAGTCCCTGGGGGAAGTTCTTTGGGGCTGGAATTTGAAGGAGTTGTGATGGATGGCTCCATACAAGAAGGACCAGAGAGGTGGGAGGGAGGTGGGGGAGAGGTGCTGGCCTTAGCAGGCTTGGGCTGGCCAGAAGGGGTGTGCTGGGGAGTGCTGACTAGGGAGTGACACCTGTGGGGAGTATGTGACTGTCTTAACTCTAAGGATTTAGGGGACTTCACTTGGGGGGAAGCTGGGGTGGGAAGAGGGGGTTCATTGTAGCTTCTGTGGGGGAGTGGCTGGGGTGGAGATATAAACTGATTGCCCGGGGGTGAAGGGAAGGAGGAAAGGCCAGAATGAGGACAGTGGGGAAGAGATGGTTCCTGGGAACAGGGAGGACCAGAAATTGTGGCGTCCGGGGTGAGGATGAGGTAAGAGTTCCCACCTGCCTCCCAGGAGAGAAGGGACTCAAAGCAAGCCTTCCTGGGAGCCTGGAACTGGGGTGAGCAAGGAGAATCAGTACTCCCAGAGCACAGGTGGGTGGCACAGCAAGGACTCCCAGGGGTAGGCACGTAGGCCTCTGAGGAAAGATGGGAATAATGATAAGAGCCCTCCCGAGGTGAGCTGGGAGAGCCAGGCATGCCTGCCTGAGAAGAGAGTGGGGAGCCACAACAATTTTTCTCAAGGGGTAGGTCAAGCTGTGGTTTGGGTTCACAAGAGTCTGGAGGCTTAGGGCTGCCACAGTAAAAGCTGCCAGTAGGTGGTGAAGATGCTGGGGAAGGAAGGGGGTCATTATAACGTCTCCCTGAGGACCAGTGAGAGGGCAGAGAGATCACCAGCCCAGTTTCCAGAACTCTGTGAGAAAGGGTTGGGGAGGCCACAGGACTAGTTTCCACTGGTTGGCCAGCAAGGGGAGGTGAAATCTTGAGGCAAGTTCCCGGGGTCCTATGAGTAGGAGGAGGCGAAATCATGAGTCCAGTTTCCAAGGGTACATGAGTGAGCTGAGGGGAGGTCAACGGGCTCCTTCCCGGGGACCGCTGGGCAAGGGGAGAGGAGATTGCAGGGCTGGTTCCAAAAGCCGAAGGGCATCCGCTGTAGTAACAGAGGTTAGTGTTCTGGTCAAAGTACGTGCCTTGAAGACAGGGACGCCGCATTCTCGAGGGACGGATCCAGGTGCAATAAGGGGTCCGCTGACAGACAGGGGGTGACCCCGTTATGCTGAACTGCTCAAAATAGGGGCTGGAAGGTGGGGAACCTGAGTGGCAGGGCTCGCGGCAGTAGGTCTTTTCCAGGAGTGGGGAAGAGGACTCAAAATAACATCTCCCTGAGTGCGAGGGAGGTTGTGGCTGTGGAAGACGAGACCGTGGAGGCGGAGAGGGAATCAGCTGGGGTGGGCAGGGGGGCGTGTTGGTCGTAGAAGAAATTCCAGGGCTGCCAGTGAGGCAAGAAAAAGGGTCTCTGGAGAAGCAGGGAGATTCCAGAGGATGAGAGGATTCGTTGCACCTTTTGTCTGCGTTTGGGGAAAGGCCGGCAGTATGGACAGGGTGGTCGCTGTAACCTTTCCCGGTCGCCAGAGGCAGCTGGAGGTTGAGGAAGGGGCTGAATCCTTTCCTGCAGGGCGGCGGAGACCCAGGAGGGAAGGGGAGGTCGCTATGGTATTTTCCGAGGGGTGAGGGCGACCCAGCTGGAAGATCAATGAGGAAAGGAGGAGAAGTCATGTAGGGGAAGAATGAATGGGAAAGGGAAAGGGGGGAGAGGGAAATGGGAGAGGGAGGGAGGGAAGTAAAAGGGGGTGCTGGGGGACAGAAAGATAGGTGGACACAGCTGGGGAACAAGAGGCGGTGACATCACTAAAATAATGAAGGCGGAGGTGATGACGCCACTTAGAGGGGCAGAGACAGGAGGCTGCGGACGTAACAAGTGGAAGAGACGAACGTTCTGGACAAAAAAGGGGTGCGGACAGAGGCTGTGACGGAACAGACGTGAGAGGGAGGTGCCGGGGACGTTCCGTAAAGCAGTTGGGAAAGAGGCCTAGGCGTTCTAGAGGGCCGGGAAATGAAAGGACTGGAGAAGTCTCCGCCTCACTGTTCCCTCCTGCGCCCCCAGCTGGACCTTACCCATTTCTTCTTATGTCGATGTCTCCGCGGGGCCGTCGCGAAGCCCACACGCTTCAGCAGCTCCCGGACGCTCCTGAGTGTCAGCGCAGCCATGTCGGCGTGCGCCGCTGTGTAATTCCGACCGGAACCACAGCAGAAACCTCGCGTGTTCCGGGGAGGTGGTGAGCGCCACCCGGCGGGACTGAAGCGAGAAAAGAGGAGGGAATGCCACCCGACGCTCTCCCAGGACTCCGCGCGCTCCTACAGACTCCGCCCCTCCAGGGATCCACTGAAGGCTGCTGGAAAAAGAGCAACCTGGCACCCGCAATGATAATTCTGCCTGGATGCTTAGAGCAGTGCGAGGGACTCCGAAGAAGCCCCTAGCCTACTTAGGGGATCAGGGAGGATTAGGAGCAGATGATTGAGTACCGAAAGAGTTAGCTAGGCGAAAAGGGACGGGAAGGGCCTCTTAGGCCGAAATTGTATGGAGAAAGATTCTTAGGTAGAGGAAAATGAGACCAGACTGGAAGGCAGAAGCAGATTTGCAGTGAAACGAAAGAAGCTTAAGTTTCAGGACCTATCATTTGCATGCCCCCTTTCAAGGACCTGTACCTACTTTTTTTTTTTTTTTGATCCTTGAAACGGAGTCTTGCTCTGTTGCCCAGGCTGGGGTGCAGTGACACGATCACAGCTCACTGCAACCTTCGCCTCCTGGGTTCAAGCGATTCTCCTGCTTTAGCCTCCCAAGGAGCTGGGATTACAGGTGCGCACCACAACACCCACTAATTTTTGTATTTTCAGTAGAGACGGGGGTTTCACCATGTTGGCCATGTTGGTCTCGAACTCCTGACCTCAAGTGATCACCCACCTCAGCCTCCCAAAGTGCTGGGATTACAGGCATGAGCCGCACCCTGCTGAAGTTTTGTATTATTTTTCTTAAATATACCCTCTCAAATTGTGGAAGACCCACAACACTTGACATCACCAGTAGGGATCCAGTGGAGAGGAGGGACATGATCAGAAACTGATTTTTGTTGTTGTTGTTGTTGTTTCTTCTTTGAAACAGAGACTCCCTCTGTCGCCCAGGCCGTAGTACAGTGGCGCGATCTCTGCTTACTGCAACCTCCACCTCGCGGGTTCAAGCGATTCTCTTGCCTCAGCCTCCCAAGTAGCTGAGACTACAAGCATGCACCACCTCGCTCAGCTAATTTTTGTATTTTTAGTAGAGGGTTTCATCATATTGGTCAGACTGGTCTTGAACTCCTGATCTCGTGATCCGCCCACCTCGGCCTCCCAAAGTGCTGGGATTACTAGTGTGAGCCACTGCGCCCAGCCCAGAAACTGTTTTTTTAAATGATCATTAAACAATCGATTATCAGAGTGTGTAGGAGTGAGGCAGGGAGATCAGAAGGCAGAGAGATCCAAGAAGGATCTCGTCCAAGAAAGAATTTAGGGCGAGTCCCAGTGCAAAGTGAAAGCAAGTTTATTAAGAAAGTAAAACAATAGCCCAGGCCACTGCACTCCAGCCTGGGCAACAGAGTGAGACTCCATCTCAAAAAAAAAAAAAAAAAAAAAAAAAAAAAGAGAGAGAAAGAGAGAAAGAGAAAGAAAGAAAAGGAAGGAAGGAATGAAGGAAGGAAGGAAGGAAAGAGAGAGAGAAAGAGAAAGAAAATAAATAAAGTAAAAGAATAAAAGAATGGATATTCCATAGATAGACCAGCCCCAAGGGCTGCTCGTTGCCAATTTTATGGTTATTTATTGATGATATACTAAACAAGGGGTGGGTTATTTGTGCCTCCCCTTTTTAGACCACATAGGGTAACTTCCTAACATTGCCATGGCATTTGTAAACTGTCATGGTGCTGGTGGTAGTATAGCTGTGAGGATAATGAGAGGGTGCTCTTGTCACTGTTTTGGTTTTTGTGGGTTTTGGCGGGCTCCTTTACTGCAACCTGTTGTATCAGCAAGGTCTTTATGAGCTTTATTTTGTTCGTACCTATCTCATCCTGTGACTTAGAATGCCTTAACTGTCTGGGGATGCAGCCCAATATGTTTCAGCCTCATTTTACCCAGCTCCTATTTAAGGTAGAGTTGCTCTGGTTCACATGCCTCTGAGAGTGAGCCGCTGCCTCTGGCTGAAAGCTTAAATTTTCTTCTTGGCAACAAATACTGTCAGTTATTTTCCTTGAAGTGACAGGCTCACTTTGTTCATTTTTCAAGAAAAATGCTGGCTGATCTGGTGCTTATGCCTGTAATCCTAGCACTTTGGGAGGCTGAGGCAGGCGGATCACCTGAGGTCAGGAGTTGGATACAGGCCTGGTCAACATGGCAAAACCCCGTCTCTACTAAAAATACAAAAATTAGTTGGGCATGGTGGCACATGCCTGTAATCCCAGCTACTTGGGAGGCTGAGGCAGGAGAATCGCTTGAACCCGAGAGGCAGAGTTTGCAGTGAGCTGAGATTGCACCATCGCACTCCAGCCTGGGTAACAAGAGCAAAACTCCATCTCAAAAAAGAAAAAGAAAAAGAAAAATGCTAATATATTAAAATATAATTGATTGAAACTCCATCTCAAAAAAAAAAAAAAAATAGAAAAGGCCGGGCGCAGTGGCTCATGCCTGTAATTCCAGCACTTTGGGAGGCCGAGGCAGGTTTATCACAAGGTCAAGAGATGGAGACCATCCGGATCAACATGGTGAAACCCCGTCTCTACTAAAAATACAAAAATTAGCTGGGCATGGTGGTGCACGCCTGTTGTCCCAGCTACTTGGGAGGCTGAGGCAGGAGAATTGCTTGAACCCAGGAGGCGGAGGTTGCAGGGAGCCGAGATCACACCATTGCACTCCAGCCTGGGTAACAAGAATGAAACTCCGTCTCAAAAAAAAAAAAGAAAAAAATAGAAGAAAGCATTCAGTATTTTACCATTACATATGTTGTTAACTGTAGGTTTGTGTGTGTGTGCATGTGTACAGATGTCCTTTACTTGGTTTAGGAAGTTCCTGCTATTTTTATTTTGCTGAGATTTTTAAAAATCATGATAGTTGTTGATTTTCTTGGATTTTTATTTTTTTCTATTAAGATGACCATACAGTTTTACTCCTTTTTTTTTTTTTTTTTTTTTTTTTTTTTTTTTTTGAGATGGAGTTTTGGTCTGTTGTCCAGGTTGGAGTGCAGTGGTGCAATCTTGACTCATTGCAACCTCCACCTTCCAAGTTCAAGCAATTTTCCTGCCTCAGCCTCGTGAGTAACTGGTATCACAGCCATGCACCACCACACCTGGCTAATTTTTTGCATTTTTAGTAGAGACAGGGTTTCACCATATTGGTCAGCCTGGTCTTGAATTCCTGACCTCAAATGATCCACCTGCCTCACCCTCCCAAAGTTCTGGGATTACAGGTGTGAGCCACTGAGCCTGGCCAGTTTTCCTTCTTTATTTCATTACTATGATGAATCATATTGGCTGACTTTTCAATATGAACCAACTTTGTATTCTTTTTTTTTTGAGACAGAGTTTCACTCTTGTTGCCCAGGTAGGAGTGCAATGGCAGGATCTCGGCCCACTGCAACCTCTGCCTCCCGGGTTCAAGCAGTTCTCTTGCCTCAGCCTCACTAGGCTGGGACTACAGGTGCACACCACCACACCCAGCTAATTTTTGTATTTTAGTGGACATGGGGTTTCACTATGTTGGCCAGGATGGTCTTGATCTATTGATCTCGTGATCCACCCACCTCAGCCTCCTGAAGTGCTGGGATTATAGGCGTGAGCCACTGCGCCTGGCAATTTTTTTTTTTTTTTTTTTTTTTTTTTTTTTGAGACGGAGTTTCGCTCTTATTACCCAGGCTGGAGTGCAATGGCACGATCTCGGCTCACCGCAACCTCCACCTCCTGGGTTCAGGCAATTCTCCTGCCTCAGCCTCCTAAGTAGATCGGATTACAGGCATGTACCACCATGCCCAGCTACTTTTTTGTATTTTTAGTAGAGACGGGGTTTCACCATGTTGACCAGGATGGTCTCAATCTCTTGACCTTGTAATCCACCCGCCTCGGCCTCCCAAAGTGCTGGGATTACAGGCGTGAGCCACCGTGCCCGGCCAAAACAAATTGTTACATATAGTAAGTTGTTTTGAAACAATTAGCCTTTGCTACAAGAATCAATAACAAGGGTTAGTCAATAACAAGCATCAGTCCAAGTTTGGACAAGCAGTTACTGGGCAGATGTTTTCACAGAAGCATTTTGTGTAATGTTGTGATGGCTTTTGTGCAAGGTTGTGGTATAAATGCAGACAGTCAGGCAAGCCCCCAAACTGGGACTTAGTCTGGGAGTGTTCTCGGCTTTGCCCGGGAAAGAATTTAAGGGTGAGCTGGTGGTATTAAACAATAATTTTTTTTTCAAGGCAGGGTCTCACTCTGCCACCCAGGCTAGAGTACAGTGGTACAATCCCAGTTCACTGCAGCCTCAACCTCCTGGGCTCATACAGTCTTCTCACCTCAGCTACCCAAGTAGCTGGGACCACAGGTGTCCACCACCACCCCCAGCTAATTTTTGTATTTTTTTGTAGAGACAGGATCTCATTATGTTGCCCAGGCAATATATCGTCTCAAGACCTTGAGCTCAAGAAATCTTCCTGCCTCAGCTTCCCCAAGTGCTGTTACTGGAGGCATGATCCACCATGAGTGGTCAAACAGCAATTTTTTTTTTTTTTTTTTTTTTGAGACAGAGTTTTGCTCTTGTTACCCAGGCTGGA